CAGCGTCGCAGCCGGGCTGTCTCTGGCCCATCACAGACACCTCCTCTGCGGCCCACATCTCTCCACGTCTCATGTACAGAAAAGCTGGTTTTTTAAACAAATGCCACTCATTGCAGCCAAGAGCTGAACATCGGACCAACTCACCAGCCCTTGGTGGCCCCACGTGGGGAACTAGGCCGCTGGGGACGGGAGGGAGGGAGGGCGGGTTTCGGGGTGTCCTCTGAGCCTTTGAATCCAGCACCCGGCCTGGCCCACTGTCTGTGGGGAGCGGCTACAGCGTTTGGACAGGTTCAAGCCTCGGACTAATGAGAGGGCACGGTCCTCTCGTGGCAAAGCCACGTGCGAGTCCCCACACAATGACAGCCAGAGGCCGTGGCTGTGAGCTTGACCTTATGGTCCGAACCTGTGGGCCCACGTGGCTGAGTGATATGGGCGGCGGGAGGTGCAGCAAGTAAACAAAGCTTGACCAGGTGCCTGTAATTGAGTGGATTCGAAACCCACGAGAACGTTGTAACCGTCTTGACCTCGCCCTTGCTTTGCCTCCTGGAATCTGGCTATAAAATAAAGACTCGGCTTGCAAGCCGTGGCGCTGTCTATCAGAGGGCAGCGTCCCACCCAGCCCCAGCTTTGTCCTCTTGTCTGTCTTCTCCATCCTTCACCGCCCCCCTCAGGCTCACCCCTGGCCGTGCCGGCTCGGCACACTGTCCTTGCTGAGTTGAGGGCCACAGAGGCTGGAGGTGGGGCGGAGCAGACCTCCAGGCAGTGTGGCTGGGTGGCTGGCGAGATGCTGCCCAGCAGGGCCGGGAGCCGAAGCTCAGAGGCCAACAGCCCGCACATCCCGCCTGGCCCCTGGCCGCCCGGAGCTCACGGTCCCTCCCAATCCCACATTCCCTGACTCTAAATGCAATGCCTCCAATTATCACAGAAACTTCTGCCAACCAGAAGCAGGAAAAGGAGCTTTTAAGAACATGTGTCCTGTGCCTGGCCGGCGTGGCTCAGTGGTTGAGTGTCCACCTATGAACCAGGAGGTCAGGGTTCGATTCCTGGTCGGGGCACAGGTCCAGGTTGCAGGCTCCATGCCCAGGGTGGAGTGTGCAGGAGGCAGCCGATCCATGATTCTCTCTCATCATGGATGTTTCTCTCCCTCTCCCTTCTCCTCTGAAATCAGTAAAAATATGTATTTAAAAAGAAAAGGACACGTATCCTTGGACCACAGCTCAGCCCAAAGCGGCAGGATTGACGGAAACAACCCGCCCGTTTGCGTGCCGGTGACCTTCTCTCGGGGCTCCTTGATCAGGAGTCGGCAGCTGAGGGAGGGGGGAAGCCGCACCTGCGTTTGGCTCTGAGAGCCAGGCCTCCCTCCCCAAGCCGCGGGGTCACCCACGGTGCCCGGGGCCACGGAGGCCGCGCGATCGCCTGTGACCCAAGAACAGCCGGCACACCCGGGAGCGCGGATCCGTTTGCCACTCTGAGTAACGGCTTCGCTCCAGATTTCAGGACTTGGTGACGTGTGAGCTATTTCTAAGTTTGTGAAAATAATGCATTTCACACTGAAAGGCCACGCTCAATGGCTTTACACCTAACCGCCCTGCAGCCAGAGCGGCCTGGAGAAACGCAGCCGGGGGCCGGGGGCTGGGGGCCCGGTATGACTCACCCGCGTGACGCAGAATCACCGAAACCCGCTCCGCGTCCAGCATGTCCGCCAGCGCTCTCCACCAACTCCTCACTCCCAGCTCGGCTGGCAAAGTGGGGACAGAGGCAACCCCCCCCCCCATGGCGG